ACCTCTTTAAAAAAATATCAACCCTTACTCAAAATAATGTTTTGCACGTTGCTCCCACATTTAATGTCAATAAAACAAGCGTAAACTTGACTTTTTATAAAATAGGAGCACCTTCTTTATCGTTTGTTTACAAACGGTCTTGCTTGTAGTTAAATTTCGATTTTTATTAAATCTATCCTTTGCGCTTACGATACGTGTGAAATCTACCTATTTTGACAAGGTCTTAAAATACACATTTTTGATCAATTTGAACTTTCTTTGAAGAATGTGAGGCACATATGAGTTTTAGCTTATTCTTTAACAAAACTGTCCCGCTTCTGCTGATGCATATTCTGAAAACTCACTACTGCCACGATTGCACGGTTGATGCTTGATCAGATCCAGTTGGAAGCTGAGATCATCTCCAATTTCAATTGCAAGCACAGCCGAAATGACGAGTGACAACACAGCAAGAAGCCACATCTACGATTGAAATTAATTGAAATAATTGATCGCTCAGGACTTTCTAGTTTTGAGACTTTTAAGAGATTGGTTCTGCAAAAGTTTGAAGGACAGAAAAATTGTCTCTACATGTAGATGAACAGCACTGTATGCCTAGATGAAGTAGACTGAGAACCACAAGCCAGGATCAGCTATAATTCTAGTTTAAGAAGAAGTCATTTCTAAACTTAGCTCTGCATTGATCCTGTATAGAAGTAAGAGGCGGAACAGGCTTAACGTGATACTGTACAAACTTATTATGGTTAACCTAGCTAATTTTGCTAATCTTAAGCAGGAAAAGTAACAATGGATCACATAACTAGAAATGAAAACGAAAAGTGATGTGAGCTAAGATACGACAGTGCAAAGGCAAAGGAAGCGTTAATAACGAGCCGTCGCAATCGGGTTTCTTCGGTCGTGAATGACAAAAAATGACCACGGATACCGAGTGCCGCCGCGCAAAGCCCAACATATACCGGTCTGTTCAGCTACACATACGAAATAGCGCATATCCATTCATAAGAGCGAGCTGAACTCGCTAACGATATCCTATCACATCGAGCGGAG